CCTCTTGGGCCGGTTACTGTAGGGGAGTTGTCGATACCCCCGGGTACCGGTTAGTGCGGTACACCTTGCCTCACAACATACTCATCCCCGCCCCCAAGAGATGCTTTCTGCACATCACGATGGTGTTCAAGTCAGCGATATTGGCGTTGAGGTCGTCAAACCTAGGCAGGCCTTTGCAGTTCCTCCTAGTAGCTATATTGCTGGCCGAAGAGGGTCTCGAATTGTCCCCTGTCGACATCTTGAGGTTGGCAAAGCCGGCGCATGTTCACCTGGCTCGATTCGTGCCTACTCTGATCGCCCATGCGAATGGGATGTGTTCCGCATGCACCCAGCCCTTGGAATCCCCCCAATTCTTGTAACTTCCTCATTAGTGGGACCAACCGTATCAACTTTGACTAGCGAATGATAGAACATGATAGAACCGGTTTCCTATCCAAGGTCCTATCGAGTTGTCCCAATCGCTTCCTCATAGCTCGCAGCACTTGACCACAACAGCTCTACCTTGGTCCCTAGGGCCTAGATTGAGTTGAGATTTTGTGCAACCGTCCTCGGGAAAGCTCCAAAGTATCTAGGGAAACATTAGACATGAAATAATTTGCCAGTTGATCGCGTTAGTACCTTGGTGTCCCTGAGCTGATCAGAATTCAAGCATCGAGCGACCTATGCAATCACCCTAGTGGTATGGTTATTTTTCCATCGTATTCCGTGCTTCCAGTAGATTCCCAAGGTCTCATAGTGCGCCCCAGAGGCCCGATACAGGGTGTTGAGGCAACCGATAAGCTCCATCGTAGGCAATACACCTGCACCGTGCAGGTGTGTAGGTTGCACGTTCCCACGGAAGTCGATGCGCAGCACGTGATGCTGCGTGTCGCCCCCAACGATGACCTGAACGGCGTTCTCACAATCCTCACCGCCCTCCCCTGTTCTTTTCCAGCAGAATGGCTGTGCGTCGACCCCTCGGCCATCCTGCGAGGTCACTTTCTTAGCGGGCTTCTGGAATCGGAATCGCGGCCTCCGCATATGGGAGCCCAGGGTGACCCATCGGTCATGGATGGTCAATGTAGCTGGACAGTTGCATTCCACCATGATGGGTCGGCGCGGAAGTGCTCCGCCAGCAGTCCTGTGACCCTTGACTCAGTCGGAGTGCACTCACACAACCTCTTGGCTCGTGCAGGTCCGAGCGGAGGGGGTGGCGCAGATTCGCCGTACTCCATGCAATCAGATGGGTCCTGAATCGCGTCGTGATGACGTGGGCGAGTTGAATTGTGGCGTTTCTGTATGCATATCGGGCGCATCGCTGGTGTGATTGCAGATCGTCAATGTGCCACTCTTGAAGGTCCCTTGGTCCATCATTGACATCCCAAAATATCTTGACTCGGTTTCTATGACGACTTTTGAGAGTGCGCCTTTCAATAGTCCTTGTCCTGCCTGTCATACGGGGCGCCTTTTCGCCACACTTACTAGCCCAACGATTGTGTTCTTTGAGTCTTATTACTACTTTATAAAGTGGCGCCCCGAACAATCCGGTGCCAAACACATGAATCTTTGCCTCCCACGCTATTGTTGTGTCCAATGGCTCGTGGCTCTGAGCTGTGCATCAAGCTGCCTAGCAATGAGTATAGCAATTAAACAGATTACATAAAGCAACAGTCATCACCATTTACGGCAGTCAGGTTCCTTGGATGTACTCTCCTGAGGGTCGCTTCAACGGAAGAGCATTAATGGCCTGACAAGTACATCCAGACACGTGCGTGCGTGTGTGCGCATGCGCGCATGCGTACGCTTCTTCCTCAAGCCACGCAGCTTTCACAGTACAACATAGCCCTGCACAACATCATATGGTTCTCAAGATTCTTGTCCTGGATTCAAGGCAAAGCCAGCAACAGACACGACTTTGCTGCAGCACTGCTGCTCTGTGGCCACTCACAGTCATTCTTGTGTTTCTCCTGCCTTCGTTTGTTGCAAGGCGGCAGTGAGCCCATCCAAGTCAGGGGAATTCCACAATGGCGAATAACTGCTGCCAATGTGGGATAGCACATGCTGCAAGTCTGTGCCCACTACATCACTACAACAAACAGACCAAGCCCCTGCAAATTTGCAACTATTCCCATATATGAACCTTCTAATCCAACAATCCCTCAAACACAGGACAATAGCTCACCTTAACCTGCACAAGCACAGCAAGCATCAGACTGTCAGGCACACAGTGAGGAGGCCCATTGACCCGGGGGGACATCCTTCAAGGCACAGGAAGGTCATGACAGTGAACGACAACAAGAACAACAACTCACAAGTGCACAGTTCAACACTGCAGAAATGACAGCAGGCAGGTAGCTATACAGTTATACATGGCCCAATACAAGTCTCCATGATTGCCCTTCTCCATGACTGCTTCCTGCCATCAACAAGGAGTGTTCCAGCTTGACATTCCATCCCAAACCCTAGCAAATTCCGAATCTGCAGAAAAGGCGTTCCCTGGTTTGCCAACTCCTGTACTCAAGGCAGGGTGTAGCAGCCAACCAGCGTGCCCCTAGAACACGCTGCTTGGAGCAGTGAAACAGGCCATGCCTCAATGCTAAACTACTATTTGGGCATCCTTTCAAGACGCCTGTCGATCCTACTGACACTAACCCAATGGATGTGCTGTGAACATTGTCAGAGCAATGCATGCTTGTCTCACTCCCTGTGAGATCTCTCCTTGTGCGAACGGTGTCGATCTCGATGTGGCTCCTGCCTATGTCTACTCCTTGATGATTTGTCGTCTCGTCCATAGGGGTCTTCAAAGTCATAGCCATTTGCACCCCTGCACCAGCAAAATTTAACACCAACACCCAATCAGGACCCTGCAACCAAACGCAGCAGGAAGTGAGAATCATCTGGCAATCCCAGTCGAATGCCCAGTTGCCAGAACTTTGTGCACACAGCTGGACATGCACTGCACTGGCACCCCTCCGCATCCCCACTGGCTGCAAAGGATTGGTATGACACGCACAAAACACACACCAGCAACAACGCGGCGGCCCACAGAGCCCCTACACCCAACTCACCGGCTGTCCCCATCGTCCCTATCCCTGCGGCGCCCAACCCGAGCGTCCTGCTCCATCGACCGGTCCCCCCTCTTCCTGCCGCGGTCCCCTTCCCTGTCCTTCTCCCTCTCCCGTTCCCTGCCCCTCTCCTTCTCCCTCCCCCGTTCCCTTTCCCTCTCCCGTTCCCTGTCCCGGTCCCTGTCCCGGTCCCTGTCCCGGTCCCGCCCGCGGTCCCTGCTGTCGTAGTAGTCCCGCTCGTCCAGCCGCTCCCGTTCATACTCCGCCTCCCTCCTCTCCCTCTCCCGCTCCCTCCCGTGCCTCTGCCTCTCCCGCTCCCTCTCCCGCTCCCTCTCCCGCTCCCTCTCCCGTTCCCTCTCCCGTTCCCTCTCCCGTTCCCTCTCCCGTTCCCTCTCCCGTTCCCTCTCCCGTTCTGCCTCCCTCTCCCGCTGTTGTTGCTCCCGCCGGTGGTCCTTCTCCCGCTCGAACTCCCGTTCCCTCTCCCTTTCGTACGTCTCCCGTTCGTACGTCTCCCGTTCGTATGTCTCCCGGTGCCGGCGGTCCCCGTGGTCCTTGGCGTGCCTGTCCCAGTCGGTGGGCGGCCTGGCGTCGTGCGGCGCACGCCACGGCGGCCCACCGCCGCCGCGATCGTACCGCCCGTCGTGGAACTCCTCGAACCGCCCGCGGTCGTGGTGGAACTCCGGGGGCTCAGGGCCCCAGGGGCCTGGGCCGTAGTCACGGCCCCAGTCGCGGGGACCGCTGTACTCGAACTCGTGCCAGTTCCTTGAGGCACGAGGGGGAAGGCGTCAATATCGATGGCGGCGAGTGCCATGATTGTTGGAGTCCAAACTGCTCTTGGAAACCAGATAAAACAGACGATGTGACTATGTGACCATGTGGTTACGTGACTATGCGACCATGTGGCTATGTGACTATGCAACCGTGTGACCATGTGACCGTGTGACTATGTGACTATGTGACTAAGTGACTGAATGATTGGTGTTGGTGTCGAGTGGTGAAAACAATACGATTCGAATTGAGCTGGTGCTGTTGGCTATTGTCAGCGTGTGCTGATTGCTGCCAGTTTTAGAGTTGCTGCTAAGTGCAAGTTTTCACTATCAAGTATCAATTTGTTCAACATCGAGCCACGTATGCTCCATTAAGGCAGCCACAAGGCAGTCAACTGTATTCAGATTCGGCAAAATTCTGCCATTCTCTCCCTGCCAGGAGCACACGACAGCAGGCAGGCTTGAGAGCGTACCAGCCACATTGCAACGCCACGTGTGCACTACAGCCTGACACAAGGCCTCACGGTTGAAGACATGGATTCTGGCCACAATTTGTCGCCTTCTAATAACTTCAAAGTGTCTTGTGCGGCATTCTGTCCTAATGCCCAACAGGGTGACGATGCAACAGTCCATAGGGCCCTTAATGCATGCGACTCATAGGGTATGGTTTCTACAACAATTCTGACAATACAGAGTGCTTGCGGCAAGCACATACAGTGGGCAGCAATCCAGCACAGCTGGTATAATCAGCCAGTCAACCCAGGTGACATATACTACTGAGGATCACAAATTGTACAAGCAACACCCACAGACAATGGCAATAAGCCATAATCATTCACAACAGCCTGTAACCATTCGTTGCACCACAGTGGTGTTGCTTGGACCATCAAGGCAGTTGATGACTATCACCTGAGCTGCATTTTATTTCAAGCACCATCACTAGGGCTCACTGGAAAAGGACTGTCTGTTTTTCCACAGGGATTTGACGCTTTCTAAAGTCCTTTGTGTTTGATTGCAAGGCAGTTGGCCACTGGTCTGGTTGAATAAGTGACTCAAAGGCATTTGAGGGTTTGCAGGGACCTTGTCGCCACGATACTGCACATTGCCAAGTGTGTCAGCACTCCAGGGTCCCTACTCCGCAAAGACGAAGGACATCGCCCAGGGAGATGACTTCCAGCAGAAAACGTACCCGCGATCTGGCCCTTGCCATCTGGGGTCCTCCTGTGGGTGGTGGTCCATCGGTCCACCATTTGGCATGTGTCGCATATCCCCCCTGGGGTCTGGCCCTGGACGCCACGGCATTGGCCCTGGTCCTGGTCCAAAGTCCATGCCCATCCTTGGAGCACCAGGGGCCATAGGTGCATCCCCCCTCCTCCCCATATGTCGCGGGCCATTGTGAAACAAGGCTGCTTCCCACGTGTCGTCCATCTTAAACGTCTCCCTGGGAGACCTGGGTCGGGGAGGGGGAGGAGGTGGTGGCTCGCCATGCAGGCCAGGACTGTCGTCACACAGGCAAGCATCAGCAGTGTGGCTGTCAACTGTGGACAGGACTGCAGTTGCTAATTTGAGGCCTAAGGACTTTGCATGGCCTTGCACACAACGGTATTGTCTCAAGCTGCTGTTGAACTGCTGCCTGTGCACGTCTTCCAACTCTTCAGCAAGCAAAACAACATCATTATCAAGCAAAATTATAACTCCTAGATATTCCAGTAGACCCTCTCCTGGGCTGTCTACAGCCATGTAAAGAATGCTTTCAAGAAGTTGAGATTCTCAGAATTTCCAAGAGTTTTGAAAATGCACACATGAGGGCTGCCCACCTGTCATACAAAGAAACGAACAAGCACAATGAGAGACAGGGGGGCTTGGAGCAGCTTGCATTCCAATCAATGCAGTTGGGGCTCTGAATGGTGGGCAGACTGCAGAAGAACAAGGTGACAGCGATGAACCAGTGCAAAGAAAAGGCCTTTGAGACTCCAGCAGTGATGAGCTGTAGGGGCTATAGCCATGCACATTCACAACCTGTTAGCTGTCAGATGGCTGATGCAAAACAATGAACCATCAATCTTGCAATTAATGCTTAAACAAATGCTCAAAAGTGCCAGTGCCATGCTATGCCACTATTGTTGTGAAACAACAGAGAGTGAACACCCCTCCTCTTTGGCTTCATGAACAGAGCTTCAAGGACAATGAACTGACACCCAGCCAAATAATTACCTTCCTCATAATCAACCAAAGTGCTCACCTGCCATCTCGTCGCATATCCTCGCCGAATGGCATTGGGAATGGTGGTGGCATCGACTGCTGACCGCCCTCCATTCCCTTCCCTGGGGTCGGTGCTGCTGGACGACTATGTGGCTCGTCCATAGCACCATTTTCTTTGGGAGCTGGCAAGCACAGCCAAACAGATTCAACCGCAAAGGCAAACTGGGAGCACTGGGAACAGATTTTGTGCCTCACATGATTCGGCAGCATCTTATGGCATGAAGTAATACAACATCACAACATTACACTCTGGACAAAGATGAACAAAACTAGCAATTTCAAGTCTCCATATCATGCCCATTCCATAAACTGACATCGAACTTGTGCGCACCTGGTGGTCCAACCGCCTCTCTTGACGTTCCACTTCTTGGGCCAAATGGTGCAATGTACTCGTCACCATAGTCAGTGTTCACCCCCTTTGAAGGCTCCAGATCCCCAGCCAGCTTGATGATCACCTCAGGATCGTACCGTACCTCTGGTCTCCGGAAGTCGCGGCCGCGCTGACAAACAAAGCAAGTCACTATTGGTGCAATTTGGAACGAGTCACCTCAGTAACACATTTATGTTAAAGTTCCCTGAACTTCTGTCTGTGAGAAAACTGCCGTACGACATTTTTCCACAACACAAATCCAGGATATGATCAAAGGGGCCGCTTTCTGGTACACCACAAAATGACAATGGCACCATGTAAAGGAGCTGCCAGGAGTCGCATTCCCCCCACCACACAGAATAAACACAATAGGGGACTTTTGTGCAAGACGCAGAACATTGGTCTTACCCTTCACAACCACGTATTTTTGTCTGAGGGGCAAATAAAAGTATCGTCCCCAATGCCAGCGCCATTCTCATGCAGCTGCTTACCCTTTGCTTGTGTGATGGGTCCTCATTCCCGCCTTGAAACACTGGTATTGGCAATGCCTTTTGAATAGTAGATCCTTCCATATTTCTAGTCTGTACCACAAAAGTAAAGGTTGTGAGTACAACGCATCCTGGCTACAGCAGTGCATAACAGCATCGCAAAAAAGTTTGTCAAGTATGAGCACAGTACCAATTCAGGCATCGAACACCATTGCGTTCTGTCAAAAAGAACTGAAGGCACCCTGAACAAGCTCCCCTGTACCGCAATGGCACATATGGATACTGCTGCAAACTACAGCGCTTTGTTGTACAAACGTCTGCAGCAATGCAATCCCCAGTGCTTATGTCTGCACCTGAAATTGCTCAGCTGCTATTGCTGCTGCCACTTCAGGTGGCAGATCTGGGTCCTGGTCTGGGTTTGTGGGCCCAGACTCATAGGTCTGGATCTTCTTCTTCATTGTGAACTCCAATCGGTTGCGGTCCACCTTCTTGCAGTACTCCATCCATGTTGCCTCAGTGAGGTCATAGTTGAAATAGTCAGAGGGATCAGCAGCTGTACGCCATGGGGCTTCAACACACCTGCCCACACAAGCACTCATCCTTAGGCCAGGATGGCCTTATGCCAGTGCTAGATATTTGCCCCCCGGCACCAGCGGCCACATGTTGGCCTTGCATCTCATACAGAGCCACACACAAGGCAACCCAAAAGCACATTGTCCCAGCAATGGTGCCAAACCATCCCACTATTTTACCTGTTCTTTGCAGAATTTACCTGTTGAGGTCCAAGTTGAAGATCTCGCCATGCCCAAGCGCCAGAAACTCTTTGTATTCATCAGGAGTCACCCTAGTCTGTCCAGGCAGCTTGATCGCCTGATCGGGCTCAGCTCTGGATGGCCAGGTGGGCTCCAGATCAGGTCGACAGCCTGGGGGCACTGAACAGGAAGAAAGGAGTGAGTATTGAGCAGCAAATCGGTGTCCATGTTGTAGAATAGCATGGCCTCCAGCCTTCCTTGCCCATATGTACTCTATCCCAGACATTATCAAGGTAGAAAATGAGCGCGGTTCAGAAGATAGCCTTGAGAACAACTTGAACATGTCATCTTGCAAGGCAACAGAGGCTCACCGTGCCCAGGTTGAGCACATGCATGTCACTTTGGGAGCAACAAACTTTGACAGGTCCTTCTGATGCACATGGCACAGACCACAGCACTAAGCACGAGTCTGTATGTCTTGGTGGCAGCTACAAGTGAAGACTCTATTGCATAATGCGTCGCAGTACAGGCACACAATTAACAAGCCCTTATCCATCAAGCTGCCATCCCTCGGCTCCATACAAGTTGTAATAACAAAACCAAAAATGCACAGTCATCCTTCCAACACTCACTGTAATGCGCCATGCCCGGTCGGTACTGATGGTGTGCCATGGGAGGTTCCCCATTCTGGCCAGGAGCACCAGCAGCATGGAAGGCTGGCGTGCCTGGAGGGGGGGGCCCCATAGGGGGCCTTGGAGGTGGAACAGCCAGTGGCCCTGCCCCATGCCGAGGACCCCCCGCCGGGGCATTGTGGCCAGCAGTTGGTCCCCCCAATGGCACCCCTCCTGGTCGTTGGCCCATGGGGTGGCCAGGAGGAGGGGGGTGGCGGGGAGGGGCAGGGGGGGGGATGGCTGTCCCTGGACCAGCTGCATGGCTGCTGCCCCTGATGTATTTGAGCGAGCCTGGGCGCTGCTTCTCTCCAGATCCCGGAGCATCGACGAGAATGGTCAACTCGTCCTGTACAGCAATGGCACAGCCTCAATTTTGGCATCTTGGCAATTTCTTGAAGGTGGTCTTTGGGGAATGCATTCTCAACGTGCAGGAACAGGAGGGCTGGGCACATTACATGACATGTACATGCGGCATGCTGTGCACCCATTCCTCTGAGCAAGGATTGGTGTGAGGGCCCCTTTTCAACCACTGCCAAGAGGTGCATTCGTGCTGGAGGTAGTGGCCACCGGCAAGACAACAGTCTTGGATGCAAGTGTACTGTGGTGGTGGATGCTCAGGAACAGAAGGGCAGGGGAAGGGTGGCAAATACCTCAGGCATCGACACTGCCCCCTGTTGTTCCATGGTAGATGCATGGAATTCTGCTGGAGGCGTTGCAATCTTCAAGCCCATTGAATCTGCAACACACAAAAATCTTCACGGAAACTGATTTCCCTGAAATAGGGCAAAACAAACAGGGAAACATCAGGTACACTCCTTTGCATAATGTACACCCATAACGGCAGACCCCTCAGGCATTGCCTGACGTGCACGTTATGTTCTTGAACCTGAGTCCTGCAGCCACCGTGACCTTAGTTGTTGATGCGTCAATTTAAGGAAGCCTGATTGATTGATTGAACGGGGCACCCCATGTGTGCAGACAACGCCTCCCACTATCTGATTCAGATCCAGCAATAAATACAGGCAACAATGCAGCTCTCTGGCAACACAGCACTCAGGATGGCAGAAGCCGTTGGATTCGTAGACCACCTGGGCTGCAATGCTCCCTGTTGTCATTTGAGCTGCCATTCTTCGAGCAGCAACTGTGGCACATAGATGGTGAGCAGGGCAATGCCTCAAGGTAGTGCCACCCACAAGATACAAGAATTCCCCGTCAACTTCAAGCTCTCCTGCTCAAGTGCAAATGCTTTGGCGCTTGGCACTCATGGCCTGGAATGGATAGTGTGCACAACAATTCCCACCAACAGAAGTAGGACACTCAACTACCATTCACGTTGGATTGTCCCTTCCTGAGACTGGCAGGACAGCTGCAAATTCAAACCACGAACCACTGCGTTAGGAAAATCTGTGAGCAGTGTCGTCTGCATATTCCGAACAGAAATCAAGACCAGGAGAGACGTGCCCGTTGTGTGAAGTTGTCCACTTTGCAGCCTCCATCGTGGTGATTTTTCAAAGTCTTGCCAGCAACCAACCAATCCCGGTCCACTCACCTACGGGATGCAGTTGTGTTGTTGGCGCTGTGGTGGGGAATCCGACATTGTTCCTTTCCTTGGAGGCGCCATACAGCTGTTGCAACAGCCAGCCATTGTCACCACATGCTTCACTGCAGCGAGACAAACTGGCGGCGACATCAACAGGATCCACCCAGAGTCTGTGTCCCTTCGCCAGGGGTCGAACTCTCCAGCGTCGTCACTAAAATAAAGGGCGCTGTCGCAATGCCCGCTGCTCCCGCTTCACCGCGCCCGCCACAAGCACTTCAACGACTTCAAAATGGCTCGCCGTCGCACATTCGACACCCCAAAATTGGGATCCTGCCCCCCTTGCGCGCACGCGGATAATTCCACATCAGAAGCCCATTTCCAGCACGAAACAACAACGGCCAAAGCGGCGCAATTCAACGTCCACAGGACAGGGCCAGGCAATCGCAACCCCGCCGCTTTCGCTTTCATCCGCCCCAGGGTGCCTGGCTGCGTGGCTCACCTCCGTGTACAGGTCGTCCCCTTCGCCGTCGTCCACCTTGAAAAGCGGGGGTGACAGAGCGTCTGGTGCCCAAAAAATGGGGACGTCAGGCGAGTGTCCTGCGCCACACGGCCTCGCGAGGCCCCTCGCCACTGCACGGCGGGCGCCTGGGAACGCACACTCACGGGATGGCAGAGGCTTCTCCGGTTGCGACTCCTGCCCGGCATTGGGGGGCCCAAAGAGCTCCCCGAATTCGTCATTGTCCACCATCGTCAAGAGGCGATCGGATTCAGTCTTCGAGGGCGCTCCCGCTCTTGGGTTCCCGCCGGTGCTGGGGCGCCGCGGCTGGTCGCCGGCGCGACTTGCGGCTGGCGCGCCAGCGCACGAGGCACGCGCTCACGCAGGCCGAGCCCGCTGCTTCGCGCCCAGGCGGAGAGAACGGGGGTCAGGAGGCGCGGTTTGGGACGGGGCGGAGGATATCCAGCTCCGGATGGCTTCAGAAATCGTCCCAGCATTCGGGGATTGCGGACAGTGCACGGTGGTCACAAAACATAGTACACGCACAGTACACAGTGCTCGGCATAGTGCTTATATTTTTTTTCCCTGCGCCAAGCTTTTGATTATTCCTGCGGCTATTCGCGTCACAATTCGGCCGCGCCGCGCCGGTCCTTCTGCAGAAGGACTTCAGATTGTGGCCCTTGGAGGGGTTCTCGCTGGAAAAGGCTGAGGCTGTCAGGCGGCCGCACCAGCCCGGAGACCGATCGACCCAGCCGCAGGAGCCCTTGGACACGGCCGTTGACGGGCGCTGTGCAGCGTGCCTTGCTTGCCTTGCCTGCTTTTGCTTGCCGCCGGGAGTAAAGGCTGCGGAGGAACGCACACCCGTCGGGCAGTCGCTCGAGTGTGTGCCCGCTCGTCTTCGGAGTACGGACAAGGCCCCTCGAAGCAGCCATGTTTTTCGACGGATCTGGCAGAGGCATGACGTCCACCGCCGTGGAGAAGGCCGTCGAGACATCCAGATCAACGGGCGTCCTGAATCTGCGTGGCTACGACATCGAAGAAGTGAGAGCTCTGCTGAGCGCCGCCTGGCGAAAAACACACCACTGCCAGTGTCGCATCAGTCGGCCTTTTGTGACTGTTATGGCTCATGTCCCTCTGCGGCTAGTTTGCCTGACGCGTTGCTGCTGCAAACCTCAACATTGACCCCCCCACCTTCTGGCGAGATGCTGTGTACACTGCTGCGCTGATCAGCAATCTCCCAGTCAGATACACCCCGGGCAGCCTCACTTGCCACAATGCGCGCCTGGCTTCAAGGGCAGGGCACCATCGTCGGCCAGTCATGGAAACTGTCTGGATGTTGACTGCGGTCCAGCTCGATCGAACTCCCCTTGGCCTTGTTTGCGCAGGTTCCGGCGGCTGTTTACGACCCCTCGAAGATCGAGACCAACTGGTGGGAGGTACGATCCATGCGTGGATGCAGCTGGAGAGCATATCTGGGCTTCTGGGTTGTCCGGTGTCTGAAACAAATGCTGCGGTGGTCGGCGTTTTGCCCACCCCTTTCGGCAGTATCGCAATTTGTTCCGCGCCCTCCTGAGGGACAGCCGGCGATGCGTGTGGCCGCTCCGACGCCGACGCCGATTGTTGTCCGCGTCCCTCCAGGTGACCGAACTGGTGCAAGTTGTCCTGTCGTTCAACCAGATATCCAAGGTGCCGAACGAACTGGGCGATCTCGTGAGCATCACACTGCTGGATGTGAGGTGAGTCAGTCGTGGGCGGCTTGCGCCGCTGTGGGACGGAAATGTTTTCGGCATGGGATATGCGCTCAGACAGTGGAGTTGCACCTATGGGACTTGTAGGTCTCCGTGCTGTTCCAGCCTGACGTGCAGCTGCTCGTTCCATCTGTACTGCTGATTCCATGGACAAGTAACATATTGAATGCAGGAGGGAATGGGCTCAAGTCCATGTTTTGCGCCATTTGCTGCTTTGTGCGCTATTGGGAGCTTCTGCTGAACTTGCTTCCACAGGCCTATGTCTGAATGCACAACATTTGCAGACTGCCCTGTTTATGGGACCCCAGACTGTTAATTGGTGGCATAATTGGTCCCCTTGCTGCTCAATTATTGATGTTGAAGCCTGTCCGCTGTCCAGCTGCGGCCTTATTGTGACTTGTTGCCCAGTATGTTTGTGATTGTGGTTGCAGCCACAATCGACTGGACTGCCTGCCGTCCAGCCTGTGCCAGCTGTCACACCTCAAGTCACTGGACATCTCCCACAACCAGATCAGCGCACTCCCGCAGGAGCTGGAAGAACTGTCATTCCTGGTGCAGCTGCTGTGCACCAACAACCAGCTGACCAGGCTTCCTTCGGGCTTTGGGACAAACCAGCCAAACCTGGTGAAGCTGCTGGTGGCTGAGAATGCGCTGACGGAGCTTCCAGCCAAGCTGTCAGCCTGCAGGTCTTTGACCATCCTAGATGCGCAGAGGAACAATCTTGAGACAGTCACGCTTGGCTCGCTGACCAGTCTGGTGGATGTAAATTTGAGCCACAACAAGCTGACAAGCATACTGCCGGCCGACATCAACGGCCTGCAAAAGCTCAAAGTCTTGAATGTTCGATACAATCAGCTGGCAAACCTGCCAGGAATGGCAAAGTGCAGCAGCCTGGTGGAATTGCACGCTGGATTCAACAGGCTGAAGAAAATTCCATCAGACATGGGAAGCATGGAGGCACTGAAGGTGCAAAATTGGTATTGTGGCGAACTGGGATAGCCCCTCTTTTTTTGTGAAAGGCACAGCGAAACGAAATATGTATGCTAGGAAAAGGGGGAAACTGGTAGTTCAGTTGGGATTGCATCGCAACAAAGTGTTTTTGATGGGTATTTCTGAGAGAAGCCATGTGGGTATCTGAATATAGTGTGCTTGTGCACCGTCACCTTCCCAAAGCATTTTCATTGTGGGCTGTGGACATCGTGTTCCTGCGTTCCACTCATTGTCTCGTGCAAAGACACACAGGTGATGCCATTCGTTTGTGCTATTCACTGCTTTGACTGATTTGTTCACGACCATTGAAGTAGACATCCTCATGTGCTACAGGTATTGGATTTGTCCACAAACAACATCAGCAGCATCCCAGCTGCTGCTTGCCAGATGCGGCTGCTGACTTTAGACTTGAGCAACAACACAATCGGCACTCTGCCCCCAGAGCTGGGTCTAATGACAACCCTGAAGAAACTACCACTTGAAGGCAATCCCATCAGAAGCATCCGCCGGGAATTGATTACTGGTGAGTGCAGAGCAATTCTTTGACATAATAGCCTTTGCACTATCTGTGCTTGCTCTTTGTTTTGTATGTTAGAGCTTGCTGTGCCTGTCCCTGCGCCCTTTGCTAGATTTTTGGCCTTCAGTACCAGGAATCTGAGGCTGCATCGGTTTCTGCTTCAGATGGCAGCGTTGGCGGAAGGATTCGGCGAACGTAGAAAATCAAATGTGTGTTTGGCTGATCCTTGAACTTAGCAGCTGCTGCCCTGGTATCTGCAATGTTGTGGCCCTTGGCGGCTTGTGTAAAGCATGTGTCATGTTATCGGCACATCACAAATGGGCCAACATAGCGCATGGCCTTGAAGCAGAAAGAAATCTCAGGATGCCAAACCTTCTCTGCTTGTCCAGGAAGTTCTGTTAAGCAGCAGTGCAGAGCTATGGCAGACCCTCAGAGCCATGAGATACCTTTTGTTCCAGACAAATTGCTGCAGGACAATCATTGTGACGCCGTGTCCTGGTACCTCCACCACCACTACCGCGACACTAGTTTGCCAGATGATCCTGAAAAATGTATTATGGTGTGATTTTGTTGTATGCTTGGCAGCAATGTGCAGTTGGCTGAGCTCTTCGTGTGGTATATGTGGTTCCTCAAGTGTGCCCATACTTTCTGAAATAGTCCATAGCAAGTGCACGTGCTCATGCTGCATGCAGCCTTATTGCTGTTGACAGAATGTTGCTGGGGCTTGTCAGGTCCAACAGAGAGCCTGCTTCACGCCCTGCAAATGCGAATGCCAGACACTGCCACAGGAAGCTTCCAGAAGCCTGTGAATGCTGCGCAGCACGTGCAGTCGTGGTCATTTGGTGGGGAAGAGGGTGACCCTGCTGCGGACGTGGCACGCAGACTCAATCTGGGATCCAAGGGACGCAAACTGGATTTGAAGGGTGCTGGCTTGACTGAACTTCCACAGCAGGTTTGGGATGCGATGCCATCGTTGGAGAGATTGGACCTCAGCAACAATAAGGTATGTGTGCAGTGCGTGTGGACTGTGTTTCGATTTGCGCAGTAACGTTCACTTCTGCCTGCACTTTAACACTGATCTTTGCATATGTACAGTGATGGCCATAGTGCATATCTGTTGGAAGCACCAAAGTGCACTGATTGCAGGACACCTTTTGTCTGCACACCCTGGTGTGCCCTTCATGTGGAACATGCTGGTCACAACACCACAGGGTATGGCCAGATGCATTGTGCCCCTTGTTGTGCAGCGACTGTCTAGCTTTTGGTCTGTATGCAATGTGGCAAGGACTAGCCCATGAAATCAAGGATTGGCACCTATCTGGGAATTGTGAATTCAAGTGCATGGTCTCCGGTTTTTCTGCCGTTCTGCCGCTCTAGGTGGGGGCATCATCGATGTTGTCATATCAGGGCCTGTGAGTGGCCTGCATAAGCTGCGGTTGTATCTCCTTGGAATGTGCTGTTGACTGTTGCTGAACATTTGCTGAAGTCAACTAGCTGCTCCTACTCCACTGTCTTCTTCTAGCTGACTTCCAGAGCTGAGATGCCTAACCACAACGTGCTGTGTTACTGTTTTATCAGATTGCCACAATACCTGTGGAAGCTTTCCACGAAGCTTTTCACCTGCAGAGATTGGCATTGGACAACATGGGCCTCACTACTTGGCCTTTGCCGATGCGTCAAGGCTTGCTGCCAAGCCTCCTTGGCCTGTCCATTGCCAGAAATCCCATATCTGCTGTTCCTCGGGATGCATTCATGTGCTGCTCAGATACGCTCACGGAGCTGGACATGTCAGGTTGTTGGAACCTCTGCAGAATGAACGGAAGTCTTGTTCCTGTCCGAATACAACTTTGCATAAAACATCTCTTCATCAGCCCTTGCCACGCTTTGGTTTTGTTGAAGCATTACTTCCTGCAACTGCCAACGTTGGTGTTGGCTCGCAGTTGTTGTCCAGTTTGCAGAATCGTGCTGCCACTTCGCCAAGCATGGTGGTGACGCTCATCTACTGCTGTTTTGCTGTGGGCAGGCACAGACACAGTTGGCAAATTACCGGTGGGCGTTTTGGTTGGTTTGCGAAAGCTGCAGTGCCTGTCCCTGAACAGAGCACAGCTGCGAGAGATTCCAGGAGTGCTCCTTGAAATGCCTTCATTGACGACACTGGACCTGAGCGACAACACAATCACCACCATTCCTGTGTCAATCACCTGCCTAACGAATCTACAGGTCTTGAATCTGGCCAACAACAGCATTGCTGACGTGCCTCCACAGATAGGTTTGATGCATCCTACTTTGAAGAAGTTTGTGCTGGAGGGCAATATCTTGAAAAGGCTGCGGCGCAATGTGTTAGAAAAAGGCACATGTGCTATTCTAGAGTATTTGCGGGACAGGATTCCTGTGTGAGTCCATGCGCCCATGTTGTGCTGAGAACTGCCGGATGCTGATTGTTCTTAGTTTAGCTTCAGTGCACAGAACTTGAGAATCACCTTGTGGTAGTGGCGCGGCACCATCTTTAGATTGCATTTGGAGGCAAGTGGCTGCGCCTCTGCTTTGTTCTCTGTTGTCTTCGATTCTAGTGCCAGGGGGGCCATGCTTTGAATAGGTGCAAGTCAGGTCAGAATTCTACAAACGGTTGTCCTCAGGATCAGAATGACTGAAGGTGAAATCTGGATCCCTTAATGTCCCATTTGACATTGTTGTGCGCCTGCCAATGACGGAAACGAGATTTATTCAGGCGTCGAAAATTGCGACAGCAATGAGAACCGGCGTGTTCTGGTGTCCTACTGCAGTTCCCAACACCCTCCCAACACACTTCTGGTGCGCAGCAAACACCATCCCCACATGAGTCACGTGGCCGGCGCGCTGATCAAGCACCCCCAGGAGTGGTAGGCAGCTGCTAGTAACTGTGACGCCGGCAATAGCGCAGTGCTAGTCAGTGCCAGACCTCGCTTACGTTGGCGCCTGCCAACCTCCGTGTCAGCGTCCCAGCCGCTGTGGTATTCAGCGTCGACCGCCTAGTGCCCCATTCCAGTTGCAAGCGCCGGGCCCCTCCGCGGGTTGGCACAGGGCAAGGAACATGACTCTGCCTCCAAAAGAGGACAAGCTGGTGCTCCCCTTCTGGCCAAAGCGCCTGTTCGCGCTGTGGCCCGTGTCTGCCGCCGCGGCGCTCTTTTTGCCCCCCCTCTTCCCGATGGTCCCCAAGGCGCTGACCACCGCCCTTGGAACGTGGCCAGCGAGGACGCTACTGGCCGCCCCCCTCATCGGAGGGGCCCTGTGGCTCAACATGTCGGCCAAGGCGGAGTTCAGGAAGGCCCACACGCCCACGTCTCCCTTCAAGACCCCCACGGCGATGGTGACCACGGGGGCGCTGAGCGTCACGCGCAACCCCCTGTACGTCGCCGTCGGCGCCCTGTTCGTGGGCAGCGGGTTCCTGTTCGACTCGGGATACTTCTTGCTGACGTGGCTGCCGTGCTACTGGGTCATACGCGTGTGCATGCTGAGGGAAGAGGCGTTCCTGGAGCGAAAGTTCGGGGAAGAGTACGGCAAGTACAAGGCCGCGGTTCCCAGGTGGCTCTTTTGAGGGGTGATGCAGGGCTTGGAAGTCGCATAGTAAATTGACTCACTGCAGGATGGTGGGAAAGAGGCTAAAGTTTAACGTTGAAGAAGAGATTCCCGAATGATGTGGTCCCAGCAAATGCATGGTTGTGAGATGGGCGCATGCAATATCACAACGTGCGTGAACCCTTGCACAATTTGGAGCTTGGGCATAGATACCACTTTTATCACAAACTTGTCACTGATTTGGGCAATATGCAACGCCACCCAAGGAACCATTCAACACATCCGTATAGGAGGAATCGAAGATGGCTCGCCAGAGTAGCAATGCTGTAACAAGTGAACACTCGCAAAATGCACATATTCTGACACAGCCTCAACAAGCAGAACATGGCCAGAGTTCAGGATCATGGGCATGAATTTCCAACCAGCGGTTCGCAAGTGCAGTGGTCTTGCTATTTGTGTGCAATCCTGCTCTCCTTCCAGACTCCAATGCTCACGCTGCATTATCTTGGTTCTCACCAATCAAAAACAGAGTCACTGATCTGGAAACAAGCTCTCAAATACTCTCTTTGACGTTGCTGGCCCAATCGTACGGAGTGGGGAAGTTGGTAGTTTGCTCAGCAATTTTTCTCCCTCTTTTCTTGGGTCAAGGGCAAGTGATTGTGCGCGCTCCGCCGCCCGCTGGTATGCATTCCACAACGAAATGGGCGTTGCGTAGCGATTCAGGATGGCTTCTGCAACATCGTTGCCGACCCCTACAAAGGAATTGACAAGAAGATTTCAGATGCATGCAACTAGTTTGACCTTTCCTGTTTGTCTGTCCACTTCTTAGCTAAAGCTTGCTATAGAACAAGGTAGAGGCAGTGCGCTTACCGGGATGTGCACATCCACTCTTCTCCCCCTTGTTGCACAGAACACCAGGGAGAACAGCAGCAGATGTGGGCACATTGGTATGCATAGTACACTGTGCACGCCAATTGCCAAACACCCAATCAACCATTCTACAAGTCCTTTCGTATTCACATACACTGGGGGCAAGGTCAGACGTAGCCAGAGAATCGCAGAGGCAGTACTCCACATCTCACCTAAATGCAATTTCTAGAGACCCTGCTTTCTTCCAGCAATGCTGAGCGTTCTGCAAATTAGGTTCTGAGCTCAACGGCGACATTGATTTTATTTCGAATGGTCCAGAACGCCCACTGAACCTGACGTCAATATCTGATGAACAAGGGTAGGGACATACCGGGAATGCGCATCAGAATGAGGCCCCAAACATCCCGGACAGTCAGCTTTTTCATCGAAGTCATCTTTTCATTGAACTGGGAGTACGTCATCAGAGAATGGTCGTCTCCCACCCCTCGCAACCTGGCACCCTCATACAGGTTTCGTATGGATCCGGTGAGCCTTGCATACAAGTTGACTACATCGTGCATCTTGGCAGCAAACAAGACAGCAAACCCATCCAGCACTTCTGTTGCTACTGAGGCCGTCTTGCCACTCTGACCTGCACACATCGCAGGGTAGCTGCACAATCAAAACCATACTCGCATCGAACAAGCTCATGTGCAGGGCGATGCTTTCCTAATGTTTGCACAAGAAGTCAGCAAGGGATGCCCACAGGACATCTACACCCTCGTGGAACTGTGCTAATGATAACAACATGAATGTCGGTGGAGAACTATATGAGTATCTTGTGCTCTTTTGCAGCTGCGCTTTGTTTGCTTGATGGTGTGGATCATTGCTGAATTCATGGCAGTTGGGACTGAGGCAGTGGCGCTAAAAAATGGGCACCCCAGCAAAAGAGGGTGAGGGCAGTGTATCCTTTGGCTATGCAACCCATGCACCCGACAACTTCAATTGAAGAACTTGCAGTTCTGAAAGTGATCAAGTCTGCTCAGGCTCTGAATTCCCCATTGAAAGTGCCAGCACATAACTTGATGCTGCTGACTCAGTGGCACTAACACTAAATATGACCACAAGTGCAATTCACCAAGCTAGTCAACAGTTTGCGTGGCAGTGTTGAGGTGCTGCACTGTTGACCTTCAGGGGTGGAAAAGCAGCCAATCTGCACTATTGATTTTCCACTTATTGATTTTCCATTTATCGTTCTTGGCCAGCTCACCTGGTCAGCACACTTTTTAGCGTGATATAGGTCCCTCGCCACGAAGCACGTAGGCAGCCCATCGTCGTACTTTTTGTTGTTCATACCTGCCGCTCTTTATGGACGACACCAGGTCGTCAGCTCGCTTTCGCTCCACAATGAAGTCCAAGACGTACTCCTGGAATGGTGGAGACAAACGGCGTGCAACCCACAGAGCATCGCCCTGTGCCAGCTGGCGATGGTCAACCTTGATTCCCTTGGCTCTAATTCGCTCCAAGTGCACTTCCAAAGCTTCTGTGCAGACAAGAAGTGGAGTAAGCCCGCATTTATTTGCACGGCATGTGTCGTGCTGCAGACTGAAGCCAGCCAGGCTAGGCAGCAAATGTTCCTAGCCACCGTTTGACTGTTGGAGATCTCCTCATATGCCAGTATCTGATTTCTTTGAAAACAAGAGCAAGGTCCATTTTCACTCCCTGTTGAGAAATGGTTGGTCCCAAACTCTCCACATTCGACTGCAGCAGAGATAGAGAGTTTTCCAACACAACTAGGTGTCAATGCAGTGGTGCATGTACATGGGTTTCTATTTCCCTTCTCCATCTACAGAAATTTGTCTTCGGCTGACAAGCTACCAACACTTGTGTTCCGAAATTCCCATACTCTCCGCCTTCAAGGGCAGGACTGCAATGAGTATGGAAACACCATAACCTGTGGGTGCGATGAACCACAAATTGACCTGCATGGGTGCACTGCCTTGCAGAGTGTGGTGGAGGACTCGCATGCAATGATTGATACTATGGCTTAGGTGAACATTGGGACAGTGCTGTAATGATGTAACAACCATTTACAAAGCAGTGCATGTGGAAGGAAATTCTCACCAGGTCTGTTCAGGTGTTGACTGCAAGATACTTCTGAGAACTTCTCTCTATTGTCCACTACAAGAACAACCTGCGAGTCAAGCAGTCATCAAACCTGATCAGAACAACGAGTGTGGAAACTGGGCAATGTGGCACAGGAAGATGCAAGGACATGAATACAACATCATACTGCTGAGTGTGGTTGGCTGAACACAAATGAAAAATGATTGGATGCTGCTGTGGCTGTCTTTGCCTCCCCAGGCGCAAGGGCCTTGTTTTGTCCCGTGTTTTTGACAATTGTAAGTCCCAGAATTCACACTGCTGAGTGTCACAAATCAATCCCACAAGCGATTGCTGGTCAAATTCATTATAAGCGCAGCCAACCGAACAAGACATCCTACAGCTGATTTGACACACTTTACACCAAAAATTCCAATGGAAAGGAAGTGTGTTTGCGTGTGACGTTAATGCCCCCACCACATACCATTCTATCCTCACCAAACAAATAGCAGCTGCGTTGTCAATGCAGGTTTGCTTACTTGTTGCTGATTCATACCTGTGTCGCCGCAAGAGCAGCACATTAATTTTATCATGTTGGGCAGTGCAGGCGAAGCCTGTGCGCCAGTTATAGCCATGGCAAACACTGCTTGTTTGGAAATGGCAATTGCACCAAACCAGTAGCTGGCATGCTTTGCATTTGTAGGCGATTCCCTTGAATACCAAGTCACCAGGCATCTTTCCTGAAAGTTCACAAACCTCATACTCCTGTGAAAATGTTCTGCCAGCTGAAAGAGGAGGCAAACAGACACCATTGTCCTGGGCAGTCGATCCAAGAAGAGGTAGGCGCCAGGCGCCAATTGAGAAGCGGCCTGTGCGTGACCTGCACCCGAGCACACATTCCACAGGGATCAGCCAGAGCAAGCTGACAACAAGTACAGAAACCACTTGATCTTGTCAAGCAACCAAAGGTGCCAAAAGGAAAGCATGTGTTTCATCTTACACCACTCACTCAGACACTGATTGTGGTGAATAGTGTCCCTTGCTCCCTAAAATGTTCCAATGCAAATGTTATCAGAGAATGCCATCCTGGGCTTCCAACAGAAGACAAATGCCACTCCAGCTGCACTGCATGCGTCAACAGTTACAGTTATGATGAAGCTGTTCAAAGCAACCGATCTCGTTGCACCAAGGACTCCACGCAGATCCAAGGAAATAGCCAACAGGCACCACATTGTTGCAAGTGCTGGTGCAGACATGCTCAAAAATATGCCAAAGGAGCATTGATGAAGACTCATCTGCTATCCAAAACTTGCTAACACAGGATTGACGCCAAACAGTGATATCAGTCCACAGCAAGTATGCCAGTACCCTTGTGTCATAGTTGCTGGTGATTTTGTCCAAATTTTGTCACCAGTGCCAAGTGATTCATACACAGTGCCAAGTTCATAGCCATTGACTTCAGACACAGCTGCATGCAGAGCCATTCAGGTTCACAAACGAGCCAAAGTGTCTCACCTTTGATCCTGGCCATAGGTAGCTACTGATTGATGGTGGCCTGGCGATGGCGGTTGCACCAGCAACATTGTCCTCTGGGCACTTTTGTCTTGGCTCATGGCCACCTTTTGAACAACTGTCGCTGCTGCTGAGTGCTGGCTGCAGTCCACCTTCAGAATCGACCTTTTGGACCCTGGCATGCACCCTGTTTGGACATTACTTCCGCCACGACTGCCAGATGCCATGGTGATGTCGCCATCGCTGTCAAGAATTATGACATTTTTCTCGACGACCTGATTGTTAACCGGCGGGATGGATGGTTCCTGAGACAATTATACACCACCTCAGTGTCAGAATCGCAAACCACGTTACTACAGCCAGCCAATGAAATACTGCACAATGGGAAAAGCTGACTAGGAGCTACAGACTGACAAAATTTCAGACTACATGTTGGCAAGACAGTCATCACAAGCATCAATGCAATGTGGACGTCTGTTGCCCCATTGACTCCCCATCCCCAAGTGCCTACTTTGTCGAATGGCGATGTTAAATCAGCAACATGGTTGACTCACTCGATGCTTCACAAGATGCTCCCAGCTCAGACAAACTACAAAAGCAGGCACGCAATTGGCAAGCAAATTCAACCCAGAAGACCACAATGCACAATGGATTTCCTGTGGATTGTGCTTGTTCACCTTAGGAAACAATTGTGTCCCAGAACTAAATGCCCTGTCATTCTCTGCCGTGCCACTCTTGTGCAACACTTGCTCTTGGCTAGCACTCGGCTGGCAGCCTGCCACACATGACATAGACGTTGTCAGTCACGAGTTTGAGTACGCGAGGCATCTCTCCTTCCCTCCTAAATGTTGCAGCCACAAGAACAAATTCTTCTTTCTCCCCATTTCTTGTTGCTCTGGCTGTATTTGTTACTCACAAACCATGCCAAATGGATGAAATGCCAGTTTCCACACAATGATACTGTCTTCTTGTGTATGGTTTACCTCCAACAAAAGTCCTCAGAGTAGGATGGATGGCACCACGGTGCAAGATTCAAGTGTGTCAAGAGCGAGGCTTTGAGACAAACAAGATCAACTCACATGAACGGGTTGCTGGTTGTTCTAAGGTCTTTGGCAAGGGCTGCAAATTGTTCCTCTCCACAGCATCATTGTGTAACCTTTCTGCCAGCTCCCTGCCTTCCTCTGTCAGTCGTATTTTGTGGGGATTGCTCCAAACAAGGACAAGTGGAGGATCACCATTCTTCAGCTTCTGCAGGAAGCAGCAACTTATTTGGGCCGCGTGCAATCAACATGTGGTGATCCAAACATTCACGTTGTCAACCTACCCCAGATACAACCCAAAACAATGGTGTCCAATCGCTGCCATGTTCATCCTGCAGCAGCGATGGGGAACTCTAAAATTTCTAGGTTTGTGATGCCTAATCGCGTACTGCATTCAATCTTGACAAGGCTCAGCACATTCTTGTCGAGAATACAAAAACCTGCATCACAATGAACAAGTTCTTTCTAGGGACAGCCCTATATGGAGTGGGGTAGCCCGGCTCGCAAATCAACGTGAAAATGTCACTCATGGCATAGCTGTCTCAAGGCACAGTATCGCAAGCAATTCTACCCGGTGACTAAGAAGTCTGAGCTTGTCATGTCTGATTCTGTTAGGATTCACCTTGACGTTGCTCCACCCATTATAAAACCTGCCAGCAGCTCCATTTTGATAACCGGTACCGTACACTGACTTGCTGCTTAAGCCTGAGTCTTCTGCATGTCGCATAAGCTCATCCTTGCTCATGTGACTCCCTCCCTGTTTCCAATTCTGAGCACAACAACGAGGCAATGAAAAAGCAATGTAGAGTACATCTCGTTGATGCTGCACCACGCAGACAGGTAAGTTGCATCATGCAAGACAGCAGTGTGCAGTGGTCATTGTGTTCTAGAAGCTGTGGCATCTTTCCAATGTATCATGGCAATCATACTCAAAGCCTGTATTTCAGTCTCAGCCAATGGACCTATGAATTTAATTAAGTCACAGCCTGTAGAACCACTCCACTTGCCTGAAGAATACCTGTGACAATCTGTGGGCACTCCAGATGGCGATCCTTACTTCAACGAGCATATGCTGGCTTCAGCAGCACAAGTTTTAAAGCGAGCATGTTTCGATGCACACAGGTGCTGTGGCTACACCTGCACTGTCCAGAATGGATACCACATCTGCCCCAAACGTCCAAGAATTCTACCACTTGAAAACCTCTATTCCACCCATGCCTATGCACGAGAGGTCCAAGCATGGTTAAAATATGCACTGTGCTTGGCTGCAAGAACTGCAGACACAGAGAGATTTGCTGACAGATTGCCTTTCACTCACCCTGTACAACGTTATCAAGAATGCATAATTTGCTGTGCCCACACCAGGACAGTATGGCTCCTTTGTGAGCTCCACTGCTCCCTTCTGCTTTTTAGGGCTTGGGTCAGTGGGCTCTCCAGGCACAAATTGATCTTCCAAAGCAGCCGCCCTCTTTCGTTTTGTGCTTTTCTGTTTACGAACCAAACACAAGTTCCAATGGAAAGTCAGAAATGATGATGAAATGTCGATCCACGTGAAGGAAGTATGGAACAGGTCCTACTGCATGCTTGTGAGGAGGCTGTGCTCGAATATTTGTTCTGTTTCCAGGCTGTCAAACAGCATCTTGGGACCAACATTTGGGCAATAATGTCCCTCCCCCGTATTCTGTCAGGCCACCAGCAACTGCGCATCTGAGATCCCAAACAGCCAAATTACCAAGCGTACCTTCTCCTGATTGGCCGTCTTTCTCCACACAGGCGCTGCTTGTTCTTCCAGTTGACCATGTAGCGGAAGGGGAGGAAACTGGCTCCACAGGTATTCTTTTACAATCTGTGAAATAGAAGCTCAAGCTCAACTGCAGATGATGCATGCCCACACCAAATGGATCCCATTGCAGGAACCCTGTGGTGCCCATACTCGACTCAAGCAAGAAACTTTACCTGAACAAGTTTGGGGCCAATGTGTTTAAGTTTCCTCAGCTGCGCATCAGTTGTAACTGGGCTGTCGGTTTCTATGACAGACTGTGTTGCTTTCTTCAGAGTGAGAAGAAACATGTTGTCTGTGGCCCCACCAGTTTCCTCCTCGATGTCACATTTCAGGCCACTGCAGAAACACAAGGTTGGTCTTCAGCAAGAAATATGTGCCCACCAAGTCGCACATAGAACTGACTCTTGCACACATGAACCACAATGGGTGTGAATGGCCTGTGCAAGGAGTCAAGATGGAGCAAGAATGGAGAGGACGAGAGAATGACCAGCAGGCATCCGTGGAAGGCATTGGAAGATCCAACACACACTGTAAGAAGATTTTCTTTGCCAGAAGCATTCTTTAAAGCGCTCGAGTAATTGAAACTGGCTTTTATCAAGCAATTTGGAAATAAATGAAGATGCGCAACTGCAGACGCCTGGAGAAATTTGGCATCTCCAATCTCATTCTGCACTCAGCCCCTAATTGTCCTGATTCGACATCAATTTGGAGTCGCTCATGCGGAACTGTCTGCGCCGTAAACCTTTGCAGCATCTGCCAAAGGCATGGTGTCCAATCGGGGCACAAGCAATTGCCCAATAACTTGCCAGCACCCCCGCTATGCCTCTTCCACCTGCGAAAATACAGGACGGTATTCTGCCCACACATTGGATGAGAAATTCAAAGACAACACGTGCGACGTCGTCCCAGGTGCCAAAACGGATCAATGCAAGAGCTCAGGCTGGGCGTCTGGACTCCGCACTGAAGCGCTGACCTCAGGAATTCCGCAAGGATGCGGTTGGCCGGACACGCACACGCCAGGCCACCGCTTCCTTCGGCCCTTGCCTTTGCAAGGCGAGCCAGCTCCTTGCGCCTCTGCGTCCGGAACATCTTGTCGGGACGAAAGGGACGGGCGCCCTCCGCGCGCCCAATCCACTGCTGGAAGCAAAATGACAGAAATTCATCTGGCCGCACCATCCAGGCACAATGATATGTGCGTCAGCAGCAGTGACCGGGCGGGTGGTCCCAGACTGTTCCCCAGCTTGAGCAACAAGCTCAATTTGGGTTTCGCTTTGCAACTGCGCTGGGTCAGTGCGGAAATAGCACCGGGAGACGGTCCCGAACAGCGGGCTGGCGCGGTGTGGCCTCCCCTGCGGTCTGTTACTGACGAGCTGCTCCTCTGCGTGACGCCCTTTAGAGGAGGCTAAATGTCCCGATTGAAATCAGCTCGTCAGAAGAACAATTGACAAAATTAAGCGGGGGGATCGAAGCACAGCACCCCGTGTGGCCAGCCTAGGGTCTCATCGCTGACCGAGAGGGAAGTGGGGACGAGGCGCTGCCCGCTTGGGGAATACTGAGGGCCGAAGAATATGGGCGCAGGCAGCACTAAGAAAGGATGAATTGTTGTCTTTGGATAAAACTTTTGGTGATTGGGGCTGCCAGCGGGTCTGCCGATGACCCTTTTTGCCCAACAGCCTCATTTGTGTTTGTGAAAGTCTGAAAGCTTGCTCTCAATCGCTTTCTTTTTTCCTTGGACTAAATGCCAGCACCCGCGGCTGCGTGTTCACTTGTCTTCGAGCCGATGATCATATCCATGTGCCAGCCTCAGATATCCATTTCTGCAGTTTCTTTGTGTAATTGCTGTTGCAGTTTTGAATTTCATCTGATTATGATTTCCATCTGTTGTTTTGCTAAGTTGCTGAGTGTTATTTGTTCAACATGAGCTGGATTTAACTGCCTTCCTGTAAGTGAATGCATGTAATCAATCTGCCCTGGACAGCAGCAAACGCGGACAAGGAATGGCTGGCTCCGAGAAAAAAATAGTAAGGCAGTTTTTCAACGTAGTTGTTCAGCAGCAGCTTTAGTCCTTTTGTTCTGTCCACTGCGACATCTGGTGTGACAATGTGTGTGTTCTGTATCCTTATTTCTCTGCCTCCACCAGAAACTTTGCTGATCAGCAGTTGGCAGTCGAAAGGGAGAAAGCATGCAAAGTTTGGATGAATGCCCAGAAGCAGTGTGTCCACCAACCAAAGGCCGACAGGGAGAAACCACTGCAGGATCGCTACTGGGTTAAAGTAAGGCAGCAGATTGGCATAAGGGAGCGCACAAGGTGTGTGGATGTTCCATACGTGTGCATGCATAGGTGATGTCCAGATTTCTGGACATTCGGAATGCACTTTGTAGTCAGTGCCGAAAGAGCTGAAGTTAACGTAGTTAGGGTGTCCATGCCCATATACAGTAGATCAAAACTGTCATGCATTGTTGCCCTTTGCGATGCCAAGTTGCTGCACAAACTCACAAGAGCACTCACCCTTCCATCGTACAGAAGCCACTGGCACAGCAAACTGTGATCCTGTCTGATGAGGAAGCATTGATCAACCTTGCTTCTACACGGTTTGTAAGTTATATGGATGTTGGACCCCAAAAAGCTGAGGGAACCTTGTCTTTATTGTTGTCCTTCCAGGCAAACGTGTGGATTGCAGTGTTCAGCTTCATTGTGAATTACGTTTTCACGAGTTATTTCTATGAGCTGCTTAGGGCATCCATTACTTTCCCTGCACATTGGCTGAATAATGTGAGTGTTGTGGGCACACAACCATCAGTTGTTCATATGACTGGAAGTGCAGCCCCTTGAGCATTGGTGAATTATTGCCATTGTATCATGTCGATGCAGCTCGCTCACCAATGGGCATGTCTGTCTGCCGTGCTGTTTTCTTGGCTTTCTGATGAGTTGTTGACCATTCCCTTCGTGGCACAATGTTCAAGGCGTCCAAAGACATCCAGTCCAATAATTACCTCATTTGTCTGCAGGGCCCATTGTGCTTCTTCTTGATGACACATGCCTACTACCGCTTCTACCACGCCATTGCCAACTTCTCTATATGACTCTTTCAGCATGCTATAGAGTGTTTTGGTTGGATTTCTCAGAATATCATTGTCACTCTGGGAATCTTTGTTCTGTTGTACAACACTGCCTTCATAGAGACGCTCGTGATTACCCGCTTCCAATGTTATTCCTTTGTTGACCGGGGCCGCATGTATTCCGTTGGTTCTTGGTTCTATGCAATTTACTTTATTGTATCCTTCCCATTGTTTTACCGCACTGAAGAAAATCCCCACCAGAGGTGGACCCTGTCGCACTGCACATTGGATAGCCTTGCAGCTGGAATGTTGGTCACGATATTGTTGGCGTTCGGAAGTTGAGCGTTGGCTCTATCGTGAGCAGCTCCTTTGAGGGCGGGTTGCCTTGGATTTAGGAACGCCAAAACTGGGAGGATAAATGTGTAAGAAAGTACTTCCTCGGAGGAAGTTCCTCCGTCCAGAATTAAATGAAATAGTTTGTTGACTGACCACATTGGTATCATAGACTTCGCCTTTCTCTTTCTTTGAGAATTATACCAGAGCTCGCGCTCTGTGTTTAGCCAATGCTATCAAAAATCATTGGCAGAAAATAAGATTCGTGCACTTGGTTGTACCTTGAACCCACATGACTCAGGCCTCAGATTTGAACATTCTGTGAGCCAACCAAACACGGCGCCCCTGGATCTAACGGGCTCCCACGCACAAGTGATACCCCTCTAGGTGGCCATCGCGGTATCAGAAGGTTAAGGTTCCTCGTTGCTCGGGCTTTAGCCCAGAGATCGACACCCTTCACGAAAAAGGATAGGCAAAAGTTGTGGCTTGGTCCGCCTATGGCCATCAGTGGTCACTAGCAATCCGCGCCAGCATCCACGGCAACGCACAAACATGTCAGGGATTGCCCATTGCCAATTGGTCTCCTTGTTTCTTCATACTAGCTGCAGAATAGCTATGTGCATCAAAAGCCCTTTGCTCAGCACAGATCTCCCATTGATGGATTGCCTAGCACAAACAACACCACCACTTAAGCTGCCATCAGCTCCATCAAACACAAGGAAGGAGGGTATGGATGCTCAATCGTAGGCACCAAGTGTCTCTGGTAGTGCTCTTGCGTTTTCCGATGGCGCCCACAAGAATCTGGCATGGGAGCCGCTTTCAAAGAGGTGTAAACAGCGCTCAAAGTGCTCCTTGCGGCATGTGCACAGCATAGGCAGGTCTAGCACTCTTTGACTGCCTCGCAGCGAGGTGACAATCAGATTCTTGCCAACCCTTTGTGGTGGTCCTAGCGACTATAGTGACCATGCCCATGGGGCCGGCTCTCTATAGTCGCTGTGATAATGGAGTCTCCGATTTGGAGCTGAAATCCTCGCTGACCCATCAAAACCACGGTCACAATCGACGATGGAGCTGTGCGAACTCGGTTCCGCGGTCTCTCTTGTTCATTTAGAATGTCTCCAAAGTGCAGCCATGATGGCGGCTGTAGATATCCACTTTGCGCTATGCACCGTCAGCCGCAAGGCCACCCAGTCAGAGACCCCGTCTGGGGGGCTCTTCAGTGAGACCTTGAGCAGATTCGAGTTCTTGACTGGAGCCACAAGGGCTTAAAGTACTGTCATGTGACCAGTACTTATCCGTTCTTCATGAAAATTTGGCAGCACTTACTAAGCTTCTTGGGGGTGCCCTGCTCCAACTTTGAAGGAAAATGGGCAAATGCGTGATATAAATGCGGTCTCTCAAGCAAATTGCTTCATTTAAATCCGGACGGAGGAAGTATATGGCCTGCATCGGTCCTTGGAACACTTGTCCATGAATTTCAAAACTTTGTTCCAAGGCTCCAGGAAGGAGGGCAGCCAATGTGCAGTTTTGGTGGTTTTGATTGTTTTAATTGGGCCAAAGAAGAGAAAGATGCGCCTGTGTGAAGATGCAGAAAAGCACATTCAAGCCTTGCCCACAATGTAGTTCTAACGGACATCGCCAGGGCTGTGAAACAGGATGCGCACGTGTTGTGATGATTGTGAGGGCAAATGCACAATTGGCTGCGGTTGGGGTTGTGCTTCTTGTGTTTACAAAATTGAGCGATTGCCATCAGTGTATCTGCTAAGGATGGCCTTTTGCATGACATACTGATCTGCCAAGTTGCACACAGAACTAAATTATGTACATGTGAATCACAATGGGGTGTGAATGGCTTGGGAATGGAACCGAATGGAGCTAGAAATGGAAAGAGAAAATGACATCTGGGAATGTGTGGAGGGCAATGGAGGATCCAATACTCGCTGCACAATAGATTTGCACTGTGAGAAGCATTGCATAGTGCTCAAATGATTAGAAAATGGCAATGTCAAGAAATTTTGAAGTCAGTGCAGGTAACTCCACACAAGGTACCTTACTTGCAACTCTACATAATTGGGGATATTTGGCATCGTTGATCTCAACTGGCATACAGCCCCTAATGGCACTGATTCGACATCAGTTTGGAGCCCCTCATGCAGTGCAGTCTCCACCACGAAACTTTGCAACATCTGCCAAAGGCATTGCGTCCAATCAAAGCACCAGCACTAGCCACATGACACACTAGCACCCGGCTATGCCTCTTCTATCTGCAACAACACAGGATAGTAGTCTGCCCACGTGCTTGATGAGAAGTTCAAAACGACATGGGTGAAAATGGAGTAGTGCAAGGGCTCATGTAATGATTGGAAACCGTACTGTACATTGACGGGTATTCAGATGACTTATATGAGTTAGATGAGTTCATCTGAGTCTAGAAATGTGTTCATTATGGTCGCCACGTTCATCTTGTTAAATGGGCCAATTTTCGGTATAATGAAGTTATTAAAGTAATTTAGGTCATTTAACCCATTTCAGGCCATTTGGGGCATTATTCCTTGATGGAACCGGTGTGATGATGAACATTATAGCCTATTATGATGTAGTGCGTGGGCATGGGCGGATGGGAGCCGCCAGGAAGTAGTAGAGTACACTCCAAGGGATTATGGGGTTGATCCGGCAGTACAGGCACCTGTCAGGTACCTGCATTATATTGGATCATAGGTACAAGCGCCCCTACGGCCATGGTACCTTGGAGGGACGTGGTATAGCTTGGGGAGGCCGCTTGGCATTACTAGGGGTATGCCAAGGGGCCAAGGGACCATGTGAGTGGCTCTCCAAGGGCCGAGGTGGCATTACGGGAGGCCGAGGTTGGCATTACAGAAGTGTATTGGCCATTACAGGAGGCCGAGGGTGTCATGACGAGAGGGGGAGCGCGCCACCTATAAAAGTGGGCACCCCATAGGCCATTTGTCTCAGTTCGCCGGTGCACTCGACCTTGTCTGGACCAGGGGGCCCACCACCATTGTAATACATTGACCGAAGCTCCGCCATCTGTCCCATTTGGTCGCCATTATCCTGGGGGATTCTACAGTGGTTTCGGAGCCGAGCGACCAAGAGCATTGAAGGGGCGATCTATCCATCACCATGGCACACCATGATGGTCAACCAGTTATGATGGGAGAGGAGGAAGCTCGCCAGGCGGAGGAGCGTTACCAGAAGTTGATGCAGGAGGTCAACCAGACCCGCGAACGGAATCAACAACTGGAGCGGGAGATGGCTATGCTGCATGAGGAGAGGCAGGCTGCCGAGTATCGAGGTGACCGTCGATCTCGTGCTCTAGCTCGGGATATGGCCGAGTTGACTGCCGAATTGATTTCCGGTCATGGAGTGGCACCAATGGGCGTGAAAGTGGAGAAGCCTGAGACCTATGACGGTGCCAAGCATCGTGATGTTGATACATGGTTGTTCCAAGTGGAGGAGCACATGTCGTTGACTGGAATACTTGTTGCCTCTCGTGTTGGATATGCTGCATCACTGTTGAGGGGTCATGCTGCCATGTGGTGGCATGAGTTGTGCGAAAGTGGCAATCGAGTGAACGATTGGGACGAGTTCAAGAGGGATCTGCGTCGACAATTCCGAATGGACAATCTGATTCGCCGTGCGAGGGATGAGTTGTATGCCCTCCGGCAAAGGGAGAAGGAGCCTGTGTCGGACTTTTTGCATAAGTTCCGGCAAGTGTGTATTCGGATCGACGATCTCTCAGAGGCAGAAAAACTGGACAAGTTCCTTCGGGCTTTGAATATGAATGTCCGTGTTGCGGCCCGTCGGCAGCCGCTGGTTTCCGGAGTCGTGGGGGTCGCCCTACCCTGCGGCTCGGCTGTTGGAGGTCAGCCGGCGCTCTCCACCTTGGATGGTGGGCGTATCCGGGGCAGTCGTTTCCTTGGTCGCGTGGTGGGCCCAATGCTCGACGGGGATCGATCCCCGGGGCCTGCTATCGGCGAGTGGTGGTGGCGCAGCGAGGCGGTGGTTCGCTGGCTCGCGGGAGGCCAGAGAGTGGGCCAAAAGTGTTACAACGATTCACTGCATGCGCGCGCACATATCGCATGCGCGATGCCCGATCGCGGGTCCATCGCGGTCACATCATGACAAGACAAGACAAGTGCGCGTCCGGGCACATCGTCACCATCCACCGTTCACCTACGATCGACCCATTGTCCTCTAATTCCAAGCGTCTAACACCCGACCCCCTGGCCCTAAGTACTACGACTTCAGGAGGCCATATCTTCGTCAATTCTTAACGGATTTGGGCGTTTAAAAGCGCGTTGGAACCAAGAAGCTCTAAACTACACTCCCAAAAGGTCGATTTGGCCAATTACGTAATTCCAACTCCAGAAAACCTCAATAACTGC